ATTTATTTTTTGTTCCCCGTGCCCTCCCTGAAAGACACTCAAGGTGTAAAGGTGGCAGCAAGACATTCACAATCGATCTTTCCGCCACTGTGTGATCAAAATGTGAACGAATCTTGCCGTGATGTCAACCGAGACCTCAGACAGGGGCTGTAACATCTTGAGAAGTGCTACGATGAGACTTGAAAACGACAATTGCAAAAAGGAGAGAAAAAAATGCAAGCAACTAAGCTGCAAACAGGGTATCGGCGGCGGCGGAGGAGAATCTGTCAAACAGTCCCCCTCAATGCATGGAACAGCCAAATGCATACGAGGCTTGTCAGGTCAAAACCATCATAGCGTATACTGAAAGGAAGTGTTTTTATTCATTTGGGCCTGGGACATTCCAGAGCTGTCATGGTCACTGTTGTCGTCCAAACCGTTGATGGTCAAGTACAAGACTTTCTAGATACTATACTTGTTTTGTTCTTAGGAGTCTTAGGGGTGACAAACAAAAACTCACTTGTTGACACGCTCAAACTTGTTCCAAGACAGTGGCATGAAATGAACAAGCATGAAAACACTGAGCTGGTTTTGAGGCACCAGCAGCTGTGTTTGTGACGTGCAAGGCCAACAACAAGTGCTTCACCGAGTCTTTCCTTTTCTAAATATCCATGGTTCGGATCCAACTGACCATTGAAACTCTGCATCTTCGAACTCGTTTCGTCCCAATGCAGACATAAGCAGATTTTGAGACCAAATTGTTTTTTCAAGTCGAAAGGACAACAAAGTCGGGTCTTTCTATGGTTTTTCCTGCGTAGGTGGAGACCAACCTCAGGCCATGAGGTGTGATGTCGCGCGACGCGTCGGGTTCCGGTGGATTTTGGAGCCTTTAGCCCGAGTCACTCCCATCGACTCTCCAAGATGGGCTGTAGAAAATCTTGATTCTATATGATTCCATTTGATTTTCATCTGGAGGAAAAATCATCCACTTCAGTCCGCTTCTCCGTCGAACAATTTATCTACTGCTAAGTGTTCGGGTGGATTCATCATTGTACCTGTTTGGATTCCAAATGCATCCAAATACTTTAGTATCCAAATACTATCAGAATCTCCGACACCGAATCTCAGGTCATTGGAACGGAGCCCTCAAGAGATCTAAAGAGTAGTTCCCCATTTCAGCCCGCCGACCGGGCGCAGCTGAAATCCATGGACCCGAAGCTTGGAGAACTCCGTCACCCGCTCCCATGCCCCACAGGCCTTTCGCATCTCCTTGGGTTTCCGTGGAGTGCTTCTCTGGAGCCTAGGACCTAATATATTGGGTTCACCGTCGGGGAAGGGGAGTTCCCTCAGACTTTTTGAGAGAGGCCGTCAAGGTTTGCTGTTTCCCAAGGTAAGCTCTGGTGGTTTCCAACTAAGATCTGGTGCTCAGTATATAATTAAGTGAAAACCATACTATGTTTGCAAGAACTCTACGCTCCTGTATTAATCCATCTATATATATAGGCCTGGACAATTTGTTCATGTGAAGTGTAGTGGCTGGTGTTGTTTTGTCCACACCATGTCCATTAAAGGCCATGAATGAGGCGCATCATTAGGACTGCAACCAAAAGCCAAAGCGAAGCTACAAAGGTGGCATGATGTGCCAGTGACTGATACATACTCCCTTCAGTAGATGTACTGCCTCGGTTGATTTTTTGATGGACATCATCGTCTCAAACATGCGTCATCTAGACTTGTAGAAAAGGGCATTGGAGAATCCCAGGGTTTGGGGAAGAGCGCCGGGTTCACTTCCTCATGACTGGTGTGCTTGTGTGTGCTTTCTGCAGTCGGAGTCACACTGAAAAACCGACGTGTCGGCATGGAAAGCTGGATTCACCACCCAAACCAACCGTGTGGCATGGTCTCTTGGAACATGGCCTTTGCTTGGGCCATGCAACCAGATCGTGTCATCGTCAGATCGTGTCATCCTGTTCATGTTCAGTTGGACGACAGGGTCGGTGCGGGTTTTTTGTCGGTTTCCCAGAGCTTGGAGTCATTGGGAGTCCAGGGAGTCCATTCCAAAGACGAAGAAGACTATCCTGTAGAGAAACTCAAAAGGGTCATCTCAGACTCCTGAGAGTAATGCCTAGCAGCTAGCAAGAATCAGCAAACATCGATTTGATTGGACAAATGATGAAACATGCCTCTGGTCGGACCGTGCAGGACCCGTGTTTCTTTGCATTTCGGTCTTGTACCTCACCCTCTCAGCTGGCGGAATTGCACTCTATGGCACCATCCTGACTTTTGTGACAGGCAAGGTCGGCACAACTGTGTTGGGGATGAGCGGGTGTTCTTTTATTGTGGGGCCGTGCTTGGAGACAGGAAGGATTGTCTGACGAATTGAGTGTGGCAAGGCAAGAAAACCAGGGGAAGTTTAAGGGAGTTGCCGATGTTGACTTTATCCAAAGCCTTGCCCTTGTCCTGCCAATGCTAGAATGACGACCCTGCCAGTCACAAGTGTCCATCCTTCAGCATTTGAACTCGGCCTTTATTGCCCAACACCCCTAAGGGTCTCTTCATTGAAGGGGGAGGGGTAAAGTAAAACAATGCAAAACAGTTTGCTTCTAGAGATGTTGTCCAGCGGCCATGCTGTCCACTCTTGCAAACACCACCAGAATCCACCCTCCAGGTTGATCCACGATCATTTTGTTCAAACCTCGAACCGGTCAGGTGAAGTTCTATACCGTGGGTACCAACTCTGGCGATGGATCCGAGTGGGAAGCACTTGAGGTTCAACAAGGCACTGGGCGGGATGGTGCCGGCTTTAAAGGTGGCTCGGTGGTTTGAGGTCGTTTGGGTTTGATTTCAATCAGGCTTTAACCCCACCAAGGGCATGGACATCAACGCATGTTGTCCTAGAGACGATCAGAGCAGGCAACCTAAACCGGTGAATCGAGATTTGGCTCTTGTTTGCAATTGGGTGTTGACATGTTTTCACTGCTGTCCAGTCTCGCTCGCCGTCCCCACCTTTCAGTGGCCTCGTTGAATTTTGAAGTGGACAGGAGGGCCCCTGGCAACGAAGGCTGCGTTTGGGATGTAGATATTTTCTCGCGATCTTCCCACAGAATCTAAGATAGATACGCAGGGGGAAGAGGATCAACCACGTGCCAAGATTGAGTTGTCCTCGTGTTGAGATTGGGAGCACGGCTTCTGGGTTTGGTTCCAGAAGACACTGTGAAGGCCTTAGGTAGCGGTGCAGATCCTCACGACCCATAGCACAACACGGCGCTGGTTTTGGTTGAACAGCCTTCCGCGGATTTGTTTAAGGATGCCTTGAGTATTGATCCAATGATGAGAGTTTTCTGTAGCATGTTGCAACCAATCGTTTATGGACGTATCAGAGCAAGACCATTGTTTTGGACGATCTTATTTCCCGCTATCGTAGCTTTGTGTCGGCTTTAGACCCCGAACACCTGTCAAGTCAGTGACTGCTTAGAAGGTGGTGCAACATCCAGCACAATATGATGAGAGTAATTACTGATACTGACTGCCAATGTTGTTCCACTGTGGCCTCCAAATACAATGTTTCATGGAAAATGCTCTTCCATTGTGGCCTCAATAACACTTGTTCATGGAAGTGCAAACGCTCACAGTGCTGGTCTCTTAACATATCTTAACATGATATTATACATAACTTACATATATGTAATGGGTGTAATATGCATACATCATATATATATATATAATTGGGAAGGGTTTTAATTATACATATTGTATACATATATATATTAAAGACTGTATACATATCAATATCCGAATCCTACCTCATGGCTCATGTCCTTAAGGGTGCCACTGTAGCACGTTTGACTCTTGCTTGATCTCCCTTTTGAGAGCGTTCAATCCCTGGGTAGGTCACTCCGAGATTCTTTCGGATCGTCCATCCAGCTCGCAGTCGGCCTGGAAAGCAGTGCGCCGGGCCAACTGTGAGTCGTTGAACAAAATGTGGAGCAACGGCCGGCACTAGGGCGCATAGCTGAAAGAAATCTATAAATATATATATATATGTGTGTTTTGACTTCTGTTTGTAGCAAATGTTTAAATGGTTGATTAATAAAGACAGGATGTTCAAGGACTCCAAGGACCACGGATGGACAGCTTATAGTCAGTGTTCTTGAAAGCTGGTTGACCTTCAGGTTTGTATTGTGTGCAGAAAGATGCAGAAGGTAAACCGTCATAATCTGAAAAAATACCTATGTGCCTTGGGATCCTGTCTCAATGACAGTATAAGAATTGAGATACTTCCTGGTCACAAGTCTCAGCATTTATATAACAGGTTCTGAACCCGGGAGGTGAACCAGCACAGTTAAGTATCCAATGAACACTCCGAAAAAGAAAGCCACTCGCACGCGAGTAAATGGAGGAGGAAGTTGAATTGAACAGTATTCAATTGAGAAACGAGAATGCCTGTCTTCCTAGATTGTAGAGACCGTAAAGGCTCTTACAATAATCATGTTTCCCCTCACAGTTTGCATGTTTTTGTCAGAAAGGCCAGATTATGGTTTAATGATCTGGCTTGGAACCAAGCTGTTATTTTTACTTTTGGAATGTTGGGTTGTAGTTCAGGGAGTAACCCAAGACACGCCTTTTATCCAAAAGAAACCATACCATGAACCTCGTGAGTTCTTGCAGAGTGAAGGGTTGGCAAGGAGTTTTTTTCATCGCACCCGCGGACTTTCGGACTTTGCTTCTGAAGAACTTGGATCAATCCAATTGCTTTTCCTGGTGGGCAAGTCTGGGTGTTCCGTGGGAAGGTCTGAGGTCTTCAAACCTGTTCCCGATTCGGCATCCTTCTTGGGAATCCAATGGGTTTGTATAAAAATAGGGAGATCTCCCAAATACCCCCTGGTAGAAGGAACATAGACACCAAAATGTGCAAAACACACCCCAAATACGTATTGCTCTGGAGCCTGAAGAGCAAATGTTTGTGGTGACACTCTTGCCCCTTTGCGTTCACTAAGTGGGGAGAATCACTGACCACTCAGGTTCGATACGCGTGCGATGCAGTTTGCCAGGGACTACTTCTGGAGCGGGCTGGTTCCGTGGGAGATCGTAGTGGTTCTTTTGGGGGCGGCCACGGCCTTTGCTTTTGTTTGTTCCTGTTGTTGCTGCAGCTAACACAGGCCTGTGGTTTCTAATGAAAGGGCATGAGGCACACTGTTTTTCAATGTTCAATACATTTCAATATGTTTCCCAGATCGAGGATTCATGTATTTCCTGTTCGGTCCAGGCCAGAATCCCGCTGGTGTTTGTCTTCTTTCATGGACAGAATAGGGGGTTGGGACTTGTTTTGGCTAATTACTTAGAGAATCTTCCTTTAATGGCTATGTGACACGTGCTTTTCGGGAGTCACCATCTCCGGCAACGCCGTTTCTGTTTGCAAAGTCCCACGGCTTTGTTCAACAGGTCCATCCCGTTGTTCCGCTGATATCCAGTTGATTGGGGCCTTATCTAGTTGTTCAATACAACGGATTTCAGAAGCACATGACTAGACAATCCTGCTGTCATTGGGCATGACAGTGCTTGATGGATGACGCAGAATGTGCAGATAAGCATCGCTTGCATCGGATGCAGAACAGAAGAGTGCATTTTTTGTAATGAATGAGTGGAATGTTAGACGCCCTAGACCCAAGTCCATACGTTTCGCTAACATGCTTGCTGTGAGCTTCTGGCACAAGTGCCACTTCCGAACAAGCACAAGTGTCTTCACCAAGTGCCCCTGGAACCATCATCGATCCGTCCTTTGGAATCGAAGCTCAGTCCTCTCCCTGCCAGGAGAGCGATGAAGCTGTGAAGATCCCCAGGCACCGGGAGAGTGGATGTGAGTTCAGGTGAGATGAGGTTTTCTTACTTGAGGGGAGGAGCAGAGTGATCAATGGAACATCCAGGAAGAAAGAACATGTTGTGAGTGCAAGTACAGAAGGTTTGGTGCTGTTGTTCGGAACTGCTTGTGTACTGACTTAACCAAGAGCTCTGGAAGTCAGGTCAACTTTGTCAATGTGCTCTGAATATGGAGTTCATGATGAGTAGTTACTGTACCAACGCCTATTAGGTTATCTAGGTCTACAATCAAAAAAAGGATCGCCAATTGTTTGAGTGCTTTCGATTTGTTCTGCAAATCAGCAAGACTTGCTTGATGGTGTGTGTTTGTTTGCCTGGTGGCCACGATCCTTAGCCAGCCCCCCCATCTCATCGCAAAAGGGCCAAACAAGGGGTACGATCTATGCGGGGATTTCCGCCCTTTGAGAAGTGCTGCTCTTCACTGGCAGGGTACTTCGGCTGGCAGATGACAGTCTTGCTCGACCTCAGATTGCACGCTTGCTTGACCCTCAAGAATGTGTCCCAATGCTAGACCCACAGAGATGCTCGCTTGAAGTGCACATGTGTGGATGCTGTCTTGTTGGAGGTTCCAAGGTTGACTTCCCAAGACGGTTAGACTTGGCCATGACTTTGGACAACACAGAAGGAAAAGGAGTTTTAGCAGCTCAAAGATTCCCTGCAGTGTACGGCTATATATATATATATATTACTATCATTATTATGTATATATATATGTAGAGAGAGAGAGTCTTGGGCAGAGGCCGAGCTTCCACCATAACTTAGCAGTTCCAGATCAGACGATTGCTGCTTTGGGAGATCATTTCACCATATTCCACCAATCTCTTGTGGCCGAGCTTCCTTCATTTTGCTTCCGCTCAGCTTTTTGTTTTCAGCCGCAGTTCGGAGAAAGGTTTCATCTTAAACAACGCAGAGAGGATTCCAAGAACCTGTGCAGTTTGGTTGCTCAAGAACCTCACCAGAAGCGATGCACCACCAAGAAGCCCTCGGAGCAAGGTGCTACACTCTATCCGAGATGCTGAATCACCAAACACAACTACCCATGGGATCAGGTTGTGGAACCTTTAGGCTTGCGCATCAATCAAAGCACCAAAAAATGTGGGGTGGAAGCCACTTGGCCGTCCATTTGCAAACATTAAATGTTAAAAATACCAAGGCTTGGCCGTCCGCAAATTACGCAGAAATGCTGTAGATGATCGATATTTTTGGATCGATGTTCTTTTTTTTCGATCTGCATTGATGCGTAGAGTTCCCTACCTGAACCGGTCCCAATGGTGGTCTCAGATGCAAACAGACTTGGGGGATTTGATGGGACTTGGGACGACTGGAACTGCTGGGCTAATGGGCATGGGGCGGGCATGGGGCGGGCGAAACCCCGTCTTTTGGACCCGAACTCTCGCAGACCTATTGAGGCTGGAGGCCCGAACCTTGGAGCTGGCCACGGAGCTGCTTGAGGTCGGTGTTGTTTTTCTTGGTATTTGGTATTTTGTTGTTTTAACTGGTCTTTTGTTGTGCATGTTTGAGTCCAAATAGGTTTTTGGTGTTAAATTTCTATTGAGATGTTTTTGTTGGTTCCAGTAGAGCGGAGGGTGGCGTTCTCTGAGGAATTGTAATTTTTCACGAACTTTCGTAGGTCTTTCGTGCAGCAAAACTTCAGCCGCGTGTCCATATTGGGACCGATTGTGGACAAAACCTTGTCGGAGGCCAAAGAAAAAGAGGGAAAGAGAGGTCGCAGGGTTTTAGTGTTCAGTGGCACTGGCGCTGCCAGCACATGGATGTGTTCGAGGGCGCAGAGACAGCTTTTGTGCAGAGCAAGTTGTGCCAGCACATCAGAGCTGATTGTGAGTTTCCAGGTTGATGCTTTTGTCATTTGACATTGTGCTCGGCTGTTTCTTTGGCCGTGATTGAGCTCTGGAGTTTGACCATCAACCATCAGCTGCTGTCCTGGATGGCTCGTGACACCTTGTATGCCGGCGGCGGAGATGACCTCACTCTTTTTCCTGAAAAAGCTTCGCTGATCGATCCGAGCATCGCAGCCTTTCTGGATGGATCTACTTCCTTCGGCCGTCGCCCTCGGCAGGGCGAGTCGGAAGCGGGTTCGGGGGTCCCAGGGGAGACCGTCCAACGCGGATGGGTTCGGGAGTGCCGAACGCGGATGGGTGGTTCTTGCGAGGGGATGGGTTCGGGCATGCATGTCGGTGTCTCCTTTTTGAAGAAGGATTCGTATTTCTTGTGTTTTTTGGAGCGTTTGTCCCAAGGTAGATTCTTTTCTGGTGAGGTGACTGTGTATTTTCAAATGTTTTTGTACCCGTGTCCTTTGCCATTCAATGGGCCCTCCTCTAGGAACATGGTAGGATATGGTATAGGGTATGTGCATGGTATGTGCTCGTCCTTACTTCCTCAGCAGTTGGAGTAGAACAGCGCTCTATAGATTTGCTCCTCTTGACGTGCATAGTTTGCTTCATTGTGTGCTATTTAATGTGCGCTAGGGCGCAATCGCTTCAAGCGTTGGGCTCAAGGTCGTTGAGTTCTAAGATGAAATTGAGTAACGTCAATAACTTGGACTCAACAAATGCTCAACTGCCAATGTGTAGTCGCAGCTCAGCTATTGTCCCTTTTCAGTACCCATTGCATCCCATCGCGTGATTGTGCCGATGATGTTGGCCCTAAATGGGCTTTGGAACATGGTTGCGTTCATCTTGCTGCATGTGGCTTGTGGTGATGGACCACAGACTTCTTCAAGCCGCCCGACCACCGGCGTGTGCAATCCATTTTCGGGGTTTCGATACCTGAAGCTCAGCAACGGAGGCCCCATTTCCGCAGCGGGCGATTGTCAAGCCAGCTGGGATGTGCACGAAGTGATGCTCTTCGCTGCCGATGGAGCCCAAATCTTCCCAAGTGTCAGTTCGCCCACTGGCACTGGTGGTCCTTTTGGGCCATTGGAGGCAGCGATAGACAACAACACCGACACATTTTGGGCTGGGGACTTCGATGTGGACATGGGCTGTGATTGTTTCAAAGATTCCAGTATAGATGGTCACGCGCTCGTATTTGACATGGGGTCCGTCACTTCTGTGATGCGGATTCGATTGTATCAAGGCTACAATGCATGGTCCGTGTCAAAGATCCGGATTTTTTGTGGTGATGATGCTGAAAGTTTTTTTCTCCAACCACTATCGCTTGACATTCCAGAGGATGTTGCAGACATCCAATGCACAAGCAGCGGGTGCTCTGTCACAGATTCACAGACGCCTAAATTGCAGTGTGCCAGCATGTCAAGCTTGCCAAGAATCCTTTGGAGTTGTTGTTTTGTGACTTACCTTTTGCAGCTCGGCTCGTGACACGCCAGTGCTTCACTTTTTCTGATTCACCTTTTACAGAGGTGGATTGGAGCAGTGCCAACAGGCACTGTGTCCGAGGCTTTTTGCCTGTGTGTGCCTCCCAGTGTTTCACTTGCCTCATTCACACTGGCACAAACAAGGTCCCTCTGCGGAAATTAACCCAAACTGAAACTGGATCGCAAGAACAAAAAGCAGTAAAGCAGTGGCTGGAGATTTGGGAATGTGCCTGATGTTTCTGGAGCAAATGGTCACAAACTTTGCTATTTCCCAAACAATGTGTTCGGTTTTCTTACGGTAGTTGCTAAGCTTTGGCTTTGATCAAGGGCGCTCACCGTCGCCAGCGGCTGTTTCGCTGCCAGTCAGGGCACTTTCATGTCTTGAGATGCCATTTTTGAAGGAAGTATCGCATGGAACTTGTCCCGAGCGGGTCCTTTCCTCGACTGTGCTCTTGTTTTGGTGGTGTGCGCATTTTCGGACTTGTTGACTTGGTGGTCACTTTTCGTGGCAGGCGCAGGAGATCGTTTACTTCGCTATGCAGATTTCGTGGCAGGCGCAGCGCTTTAGTGTGGTTCGCTTTCGGAATTTGAGGGAAGCTTTGTTTTGGCATCTCGAACTTGTTTGGAAGTGCCATACTTATTATTACGTCGTGAAATGCACTGGCAGGGCTGCGCGATGTGAATCTTGATGTGCAGATTTTGGAGAGGGACAGCACTCTTTGGACCGCGCCGTGCAGATTTTGTGATTAGGCAATATTAGGCACTCATATGCGTGATGTCATTGATTTGTGCTCTCAAATGGGTGCTGTCATGTGTGTGTGTGCGTGTGTTTTTCTGTGCTCTGAGCTGTGTGCTCTCACATGTGTACTCTCATATGTGTGCTTTCTCATGACATGTGTTCATTTTATAAATATATATAATGCTTTGACATCTCATGTGTTCTCTCGTGTTTGTGTGCTCTGTCTCTCTAAATGATCCGTTTGCCTCCTCCATATGTCCTCCCATGCGTTTGTTTTCATATGTGTGCTCTCATGTGTGCTGATATGAACAAAGCTATAACGATGGGAGCCCCTGTGCTGGACAACGTTCGCTGGTCCAGTAATTGCACACGGTTTTTGTTATTGAACACTAGTGTTTGGGGGGTCGCTCTCCGGGATAGCGATGTTTGAGCTGGTTATTGCCAGATTGTATAGTCCGAGAATACTTGTGTAGAGATGTAGCTTGTGTAGTCCGAAAGACCTGTGGGAAGATGCGGTTACATTTATTTGTGTTGTGATCCTAAAGCCTTGACATTGTAGTTGTTTCCCAGAAGACTTGGCATTGAATATGAGGCTGCTCGGAAACAAGAAGCTGGCTGGAGCCGCCAGGTATGTGGTCAGCAAGTAGCAGGAATCCATTCAAAAACCATCAACCACCCATTGGTTGGAAGGTCTCCCTATTCAAGTTATACCCATTTTATGAGAGGTCAACTCAGGTCAAAATGATTGAAGTGACTGGACTCGGCAGGGGATGAGGCCGAAACAGCTTGGTGGTCAGCCTTGCGTTTGGCCGAAAGGCGCCAGAACATGCAGACCCATGGGATGTGGGTTAAGCTGCCAAAACATATGGAACGTCGCATTCTCTTTGGCACAGCAGCTATCATTCTTGGGTAATGGCAGATGAAGGGGACAACCGCAGGATTTGACTGGGAGTGTGGGAGGTGTTTCTCTTCTGTGGGTGGGACATCATATTGTAACAAACCAATTTAGAATAATATTATGTTCTAAGCACATCCAGAATCCTGATGTGACGACAGCGTTTAGAACCATGAATTGCACCCCCTGCTTTGGCACCACCATAAAGTTGTCCAAGAATCCACTGATCTAAGATCTAAGAATTTGAAAGGCTCCAACCAAACTGTTTTGACCAATCCCTGACAGTAAAACAGTTATTCAAGTATACAATATTGTTCAATTATTGCAATACCCTCGCACCAAGCTGATTCCTGAATCCTCACAACTCAATCATTCAATTATTCTAGATTCTACAATAATGTCATTCCCAACATCCTGTTGGACCTTTACTTGCAGGTAGATTACTTCTTGTGTAAGAATGAATTTAAAGTGTGCCTCTTCTGTCGCATCCCCATCTTGCCCTCGGATATCAGAGCAGATCTAGAGGAAGCACAGTTCTGACCTGACGACTGTGTAATGAAGTTCCACCGTCCCCGATGAGCCATAATGACACCCCACTGCACAGTTTGGCTGTGTGCCAGAACGCAGAGGCGTGACTGCGAGCGCACTCGGGTGATGTATTTTCTACACCTTCGGGTTTGTTCGGGTTTGGGTTCAACCTCCCAAGTAGCTTGAACTTAACGCAAGTAAGTCGCCCGTTCCAGAAGTAACCAGAAGTTGGCTGGTAAGCCCCGAGATGGGTACTGTGCATCTTTAGCTTGGGAGCACTTTTGTTGCTAGCCGTTATAGATTCTGCAGTTGTGGAGAGGACAGACATCATTCAGTCATTTCCATGTTTGTTTGCATTTAAAGTTTGAACAGAATCTGCCACTGCTTCAAGTGACCATGTCTTGCTTCCACACACCCGCCAGAGCTGGAGGTGGAAGCCACACTGCGCTCCTTGGCCATTCGCACTGTGCGTGTGGCGGAGAAGCCCGAGCTTTTGGTGGCAGCATTGGAGGCGGAATCCGATACTCAAAAGGGGTTTATGGAAACATTTGGGTTCCCTTGTATGGAAAAACTATTGATCTTGTGAATCTTTTGGGTCAGCGAAGATTTGTGGCTGGAGCTGCTTACTTGGCGGTCAAGCCACAAAGCAGATCTCCAGGGCCCTTAGGAGAGCAAAACTGATCTCAGGAGTTTCCATGGAGGTAGGGGCTTTACTCGCTGGGTGGGTGGACCATGGTTTTCTACCCTTCTCAAATTGCGACCTTCAACTTCTGGAGCGCTTCAATCAGGTTTTGGGCGCCTTCAACTTCTGTCAACCACGGACCGCGGGCTGGGGAGGGCGTGTTTTCATCAACCGAAACGAGCAGGTGGACTTGATGTCAATGACTATCGCACCTTAGGACGTTCGGCTGAGAAGCTCCTTCTTAGCTTGCACATTGGCCCAACACAAATGCGAGTCGCACAAATGCGAGTCGCACAAATGCGAGTCGCAGTGTGGAATTCTATATAGGTCCAAAAGAAAGACCTCAAAAATTCCACTCCTTCACAAGAAATCCCTGATGGGTGTCAGCTGTCGTCAGCTGTGCTACTTGTGATTCCTATTGATTCCTGAAAGATTCCTGGTCACATGTCCTTCGGTCATTGGCCGCACTTTCTTCCCAAATGGGTTTTGGCACGAAAGCCACCATCCATCCACAGGTCTTGGCTGCCCTCCCGCAGCACTCCGAGGTCACAGAGGGCTGAAGACGGTTGGACCATGTTGGCTTTGAGATCGATTGGTCTTATAAGAAGCGTCCACACTGGTCCCTGGAAATGGACAAAAGGAAGCCTGACTTGCCTTGAGGTGTCGCTGAAGTGACCAGCTTGGTTTCGCAGAAGTGATGTCATATGTCCGGTGCCAGGCGGAGGCGGAACAGAAGGTGTTTTCTTTGGAGCCTGCAGTGGTGGAGAAGCGGGTGTCCTCAGGATGGTAGTCTATGGTGTTGTTTTCTTTCTAATCACTGAACGACATCAAATTGAGAAGGAAAGGTCTGATGTCTTGCAAAGATCTCTTTTTCTACCAAGAGTTGATTCGAAATTGAAGGCCACAGTTTCCGTGGTTCCACAAAGGATCTGCACAGTTCCACGGGAAGTTCCTGTCCTGTCCTTCTTTTCCTGAATCTTTGGATGACCGGAGTGTGCGAATTGGGACAAGTCTGCAAAGTCCAGGCCGCTTCACAAGCCCAGTTGCTGCTGAAATTAGGAACATCACAGGCCAGTGTTTCCAGTCAATGGCTAAACAGCAGGAGCATAGCGAAACGAGCTGCTTGGTGGCGATTTCCTCTTTAATTACATATTACATCCTCTTTAACCCATTCTTCAGGTTGTTTCACATCAGCACGGCGTGTCCAGTCCGATGTCCGAAAGTCTGGAGTACAGCTTTTGTGGCCAAATGGAGTCCCGTTTTTGGGGAGTCAAACCTTCCGCCTCTGTCCCGTCACAATCTGGCTCGGCCAAGCAGAGGCTTTTGTTGCTGTTGGTGGACATGGAGGCTGAAGAACTCGTTGAAGTGGCCCCTTGTTGGGACTGTAGTTCACACATCAACACCCTTTCGACTTTGGGTCAAAACACGTCTGAACACGGGACGCCATTTTCTTCCTTGACACAACTGCTGGATTTTTCGATCCTTGGCACATGGAAAGCCGCGTAACAAACCACCGGTCCCTGGCGGAGATCCCATTAAAAGACTGCCACACTTTTGTGTGAACTGCCACTTGATGAAACTCCTAGCACATCCGGGTGCGCTGCCTTTTGCTTTGTAAAAGCCCTTAGTTAGTTTGGTTTCTGAGGAGTCAAGAGTTCCTTTCTTGGGATGACGGCCTTAAGTTCCTTTGCGCTCTCGTGGAAGCCATGGGTGTCCTAGAAATCATATACCTTTGAAAGGACGGCCCTCCTAAAAAGACTGCTTTATTGTTTCCTTTCCTTTCCTGAAGGTCAAACTGGAAGTTTCATCAATTTTCAAATCTTGATCCAAATTGTTCACATGACGGTAGAGCTGAACCTGTGATAAATGTAGGCTTACGAGATATTGTGTTTCTTATCATATTGTTCATCCACCCTTGGATCCGAACAATTTCAGGGAGCATTCTCTAGGAAAGAAGAACATGATATCACTCATGAGACAAATACTTTACCAGAAGAAAACTGGCGATGTGTAACCTCAATCTGGTCGATAGGCACGTGACAGTATTCCTTTAGGCAGCTTCTTTTGGGATGCCAACAGAAGACATCTCAGCGTACGCTGGCAGAAAGACCTTTCCTCCAGCTGCACGCACAGACGTGGTCTCATCCCAGAGTCGCATACAGGTACAAAAGGCTTTGACTAGACAATACGGTGGATTGTACAACCGGATACAACCGGATAAAGTGCATTTGCATGGGGAACATCCTGCAAGCATGCAGTGGCAATCCTTTTCAGGCATAACAGGGTCATAAACACAGTCATAAGTCAGCTCGCAAATCTGAATGTCCATGTGTGAAATGCTGAAGATTATAGACATTATAAATCATGTGTAGGTGTTTTCAATCACCTTCCGTCCATTTCTACCACTTGCTCAAACGATAGTTTGAACGATGTATCAGCTCGTTGCATGTCCTTGCTGCTGGAGAAGTGTTCCTAGCTGGTGTTGTATAAACACAGTCATCGGGCTCCCTTGAGAATGCCAGGAAGAGGTAGACTTGCAGGAGATTGCCTGGGTGCTTTGGCTTGCAACACCCTCGGGCCATTCCTACTTTTGTTCTCTCAAAGTTCCTGGGTGGTACAAGCTATGTTCGGGATCTTTTGCAAGGGTACTCAGTCCAGTATTCAACATTTGACGTTCTTTTCACCAGCAGGGCAGTGCATTATTAAAACCTGTTGGGAGTCGGAGTGCGTGTTGGTCAACATGGTGCGCCTGAAGCACATTCCCCACAGGCTGGGGTGATTTTATTTGGGTCTACCCAAAACCACCCCGAGGATGGAATGAGAATGAATGAGATGTGAGTCCTTTGTGATCTTCGAGGTCCCAGAACTCTGAGAACTCTTCCCGCACTGAAAGCAGGAATTCCAAGATTCCAAAAGGGATCCGATGGGAACAGCTCCGAATGCCAAGGTGATGCTGGAAGCAGCTGATCAGACCGATTTGGAGGAGCACTTGGAGGTTGGTTCATCTTGCTAGCTCCATTTGCCTTGGCAGGAAGGAGCAAGCTACATTGCCTCAAGTCAACACCAGCACCAGCACGACTTGTCAATACCAATCAGCGGATGGACTTACCGTATCTTGCCGTGAAGCCAAGGGTGTCCTGAAACACCGGGTTTTCTCAAGTGGTTTTCGGACTCCTCGTGAGGTTTTCTGGACTCCTCGGTGGACAGGATTCGGATTTTGGGCACCGGCACGTGCCGACACTTCGGAGAATCGGTGTCTCCCTGCTTGAAGCGAATGAACCCATCTCCCTCAGCTTTGCAAAGTGGGGTAAAGCCAGTGTCTGCGTGAGTGGTATTAAATGGTATTCATAAGAGAGAAACAATCTCCAAAGCTTTGTCAGAGGAGATTGGCTGTCCGATGGGGGGTTCACACTGCTGGCTGTAGTGACGGTAGTGACTGTATATGAGCGCCTATTGCCTGAAAACGCGGTCACAAATTAAGTAAGTGTACACTTAATATCACTTAATACATGTTCTTATCGCTTCATGATGAGATTTCTGATGTCAGAGAAGTTATTCAATAAGCTGATGTCCATGCTATTTTACAATATTATATCTAGCTAACTTGGCATGCTAGCTGCTTACCGAATTTGCATTGCCCAGTTCATCCACCACCCCACAAGAAGGTCAGAGGCCATGAGCCAAGCCAAGAGGTGCTCAACGCCGCAGCTTCGCGAATGACGGAGGAGGTTCAGAGAAAGTTGCAACTCAGCTGCAGGACTGGACGACAAGACGGACCTGCAAGAAAAGCCGCATTTGGGGTGAAGGCTCCAGCCTTTTTCACTCTGAAGCAAACGTAGGTAGCAAACCTATAAACTGCACGTATAAATATGTATACTGTATAAATATATACCATTAAGTGAAGTGACTTTGTGTTGGCTGTTTTTCAACAGCCACACACCCCTCTTCCGGGTGTCCCAAACAACAAAAATGATTAAGAAAGGCAAATCATAATCGAATCATTTAGAGAACCAAAAATACAATCACAATTCTCAAGCGAATCATTATCGTAGAAATAAACACATAAAATAGAAAGCACAAGTAAAAGCACATAAACCTTTTTGGAGCTAGCTTGCCTTGGGAAGTCTACAATTGTCGGGGAAGTGGTCGAAAAGCAAAGGCAGCTTCTTCAGGGTTTGAGAGGATGTTTTGCTAGGTTGCAGTGACAGTGGGCGAATAATTCATCGTTTAATTTAGGGGTGAGCATTGGATTCCCGATTCAGCGCCTCTCACTCGCGCTCGCTTGGGCTGCAATAACAACTGCTTGGAAGCCCTTCGTGTTCTTACATTTCGGGTAGATGATGGTACATGAAGCATGATGAAGCCAAGGAAACACCGCAGTTGACCTATAGAACTCAAAGTTGCTGAACTGAAGAGCTTAAGAATGCTTCCGGATGTTTCAGTATCTCGGTTGTTGCCATGGCATTGTTCTTGATCCCAGGGCCCCGAGCTTCCTTGACTTCTTGAGGAAGTGTCAAGAGCTTAGAGCATGAGGGATGATTGTTTTCTATAGGCACCTGTTTTTGAGAGAGAGAGAGAGAGATGCGGCATGATAAATACCTTGAGAGAGATGAAGAGCCGCAGGTCCGCAGTAAAACCATGTATCGAAGAATCCAGGGCCAGACAGTTGTAGTAGCCCTGGACAGTCAAAGTCAAAGCGGGATTGAACTGCCATCGAATCTCTTCTGCCCACTGCAGGTGAAGCTGCGGGAGAAAAAGAAGGGCGCAAGCGGTGCAGCCGGGAGGAGCTACCAGGTGTTCCAGATCTTTCCCATTGCACAAAATACAGTTCAACCTTGCCTGGGGAACAGGGAAGACGTTCTGATGGGAGCTTCTGTCAAATGCAAGGCTGATATGAGCCATTGGTATCCATTGGTATGCATCCTGTGCTGGAGCCACCTTCTTTCCTTGTGGCCACAGTGGGTAGAGGCAGAGGGTTTGGAGCTTGACTCACACCCACTTCTTTGACACACAAAAAATAAAGACAAGAACATGAATAATTGAAGATGTCTGCAGCATTGACAAAGGTTCCGCAGACATTGCGATGGAAGAGAGCATAAGGGAGCAATTTGCCTTTGGGATGGACACTTTAAGGCTCTCCCACATCAGGGCATGTCACCATTTGCAGCTCTCTCAATAATACACGACCAGAGCTTCCCCCAAAGAGATAATCTACCACTCCCCCAAGCTTCTTCAGAGGAGTGCCTCTTTGGAGTCCAGTTGTCCACATATACCATCTGTTTACGTATGTATTATGTATTAATATAATGTACATATTTTATATATATATATATGTGTGTGTATGTATCTTCAAAAGAACCTTTTACCTCAGTGACCAGACCACCCACGGTATCCGGCATCCGGAGTGGGTGAGTCCCCGCGGCGGCCGTTCTTGGCTCAGCGGTCCGCGGCTCCGCTCGGGAGCCCCGTCGGACGAGAGGTGCGGCGAGACGTCGAGTCTGGGAGCCCCTAATAGCGTCCTTGCTCCGTTCGTAGCGATGCCCTTTGCTCCTAGTAGCTTCTTGTTACTACTAGTAAGGCACCTGTTACTACTAGTAAGGCACTTGTTCCTAGTAGCGTGGCACTTGTTACTAATGGCCGAAGAAGGCAGCAGAACTGGTACCTGAAATTGAGCATCTGAAAGAGTCTCCGTGAGAAAATCTCGTGCGAACCAGAAAGCAAAGAATGACAAAAAGGAAGGTACTTGTAACAAGTGCCACGCTACTAGGAACAAGTGCCTTACTAGTAGTAACAGGTGCCTTACTAGTGGTAACAAGAAGCTACTAGGAGCAAAGGGCATCGAATGACAAAAAGGAAGGTACTTGTACAGATTTGTACAGTGTATCATCGGCGGTCACCAGGCCCATGACGGCGGCTGAGTCGGGGCACCGAAAGACTCGGTCCGGAAGCGCCCTTCGTTGAGGATCCTGGGGCCATTAGGTCGGTGAACATCATGCAAATCATGCTTAAATATGGTTGTGGTATGTTGTGGTATTCATTGCCTCATTTGGTTTGATTGAGTGACTCAAGGCTTTGTCAGAGTATTTTGTGACGACTGCTTCACAGACTTTATATACCAATGAGAAGCGGAAAACTACAGAGCTGAATCTACCTCTTACTGTTTATTGTTCGACCATTTGTTGGAGGAAGCTGTGAGTTAACACGTGTCAGAAATCCACGGTTGAGTCATCCCTTACCAGACAAGCTTTGCAGCCAAGGCCCTTTGAGCCTGAAGAAGCACCAGAGAAGTCTCCTCCTGTGGGTCGGGACACCAAGTGAAACCATTCCCTGCCATGGCCGGCCTCAAAGTTTTCTCTTCCTCCATAGCTTTTGGAAACGAGAAACGGGGGTGATGTTTGTGTGTTTATATTTGTTTGTACCTTTATTTCTGTGCATAGACACAATTCCTCTACATACGATTCAAAAAGCTGTTCAGTGTGTTGCACTCATGTTTTGGAGGAAAGACCACAGTTTCATCTTCATTGAGTGGGATTCCCCAATCTGAAAAGGGTTGATCGGTTAATATTGGTTACGATTGATTTTGCTTTCCAGAGGCATCAACCTGCACAGGTTTGAAATGCAAAAAATGAACCTGCACTGTTATCAGATGAGCAGAGTGCACTTGTAGATTGAGAAATCGTTGGAACAGCGCTTTCATCGCCCAACAACGAATTGGCAGTAATTTGTTTGTTTCGTTTTGCATAGACTGTATTGTGTGTGGTTGAGTCGCTTTGCCGTAGACCATGTACACTTATATATGTATTTGTGCTTGGATACAACGAACCCAAGGGCTCTCTAGATGAGCGTAGATCGGCATGGCCATTTGTAGCATGGCCAAGTATCAGTCCATCGCACCAGATGAGTGTCTCAAATATGTCGGCGGCAGGTGAGGAGTCTACTTCCGCTTGGAAGTTTGAGAGAAAACAGTATGACTCAGTATGGCCGAAAACACGCCTTTTACACCCCACAAGGGGTGTGAAAAAAAAGCACCGATTTTGTATACCACAGATTTGATACGTTTTAATACCATAGGTATTTATATAGCTATTTAATGCTATTTGATTGCCGATGTTTGGTTGATCTGACCGGATTCCCACCGTGGCTCCGCGTTTTCTCCCTTCGGCTCAGGTCGATTCAATTGGCCAGAAGTGCTGTGCTTGATGAGAGAAAAGCGGGTGTTGGAGTGACATGTATATACATGTGACCCCTATGTCAGTGGTACAATCACCAACTATCCAAAGTATAGGGTCTTTACGATCAAAGATATGCTGGGTTGTACCCGCTAGATGCATATCTGTTTGTGTTGGCTTCAACCATATGTACTTTGGTGACCAGTCGAGCAGATCCTGGTAGTTGAACCACCAGAAGGATTGTCGATATACTAAGTGCATATAGATAGAAGTGTTCATTTTTGAGGATAAATGGGATCTCTTTGATTTTGCGGCAGAGGTAGTTTTGATGTCCAAAACGATCCAAAACGTGCCAAACGGATGACTGGGCAGAGGGCGCATTTGCTCGTTGAGGTGCGCCCACCCCAACCGCCTGAAGTGCCCAACAGCTCCTCAGCCTCAACTGAATCGCTTGTGACCGGAGTCTGTGGGGTCGAACTTTCTCAAAGATTTGTTGGTTTGTTCGAGCGAGTTATAGTGCTGGCGGTGTTCTCCAAGCCAAGGTGGCACATTGTGGAATGTCATGGAATGTCAAATATTTTTGTTCTACCCACGCTGCGTATGTAATGGGGAGACCCTGCGACTAGGAACAGAGGGAGAAGCTGCATCAAAGGGCGTTTGTTGTTTTTTGTTTGTATATTAACTGTTGTGTGCAGTTCAGCAACAGTCTTTGCATCGCGCTGGTTTCGATTGTCTTCCTTGGTTCGTCTCATCATGTCCATACAAACAAGGGCGATTAGGGCGCAAAGTTGAAACCCTTGGAGTTGAGAAGAGTTCATTTGTCAAAGCCCAAGTTTCAAGTCGCAGAGCCTGGAAATGTCTGTCAAGAATTCTTTGCTACTTGTACCAGTAGAAATAGAAACGTGTTGTGGATAGCCAGCCCAAATCATAGCATATGTTGCCTTCTTGCGCGTGATGTCCAGTTCAGAACATTCACTGTAATTGATAAGTGTGTCTGAGAACAAGTCCCATTCTATTGTTCCCAGTCGAATCCCAGTTCGGTCTGGTAAGCGGTGTAGCAAGCAGTTGATTCATTTCTCATCATTCCTTTGCTTTTATATGCCACTCCATCGCTAGAACCCCATTTGATTGAAGCGGAATCCGGTGGATCAATGATGAGGGCAGTTTTCTTGGATCGCTCCATTCAACAACGGTAACGGTGCATATAACTGTTGTGCGACCGATGAGCCAAGGAGATCCGGCCACCTGTATCCTTTCGAAGTTGCTGAGGGACGATGCGGTCGAACCCAAGGCAGATCGGAGGGAAGAAAAGCGCGCATCGCCATGATGGCGCCATGGCCAACCCAGAGCAAGGGAATTCTCAGGCAAATCAATGTAAAATCAATCATGGCCTCCAACCTAATAGCATAAGGCTAATAGATGAGATCACTGTCACAAGCAGTTTCCCCCATGTGTCCTCCCTGGCTGGCCCCATGGCAGCGGTTCTTTCCGTCGCGCAAGTCTTGTTGGAATGGTGAAAACCGGTGGAGGTGGGTCCGTCGACAAGGGTCCCATAATTTGGTCGATCGTGTCCCAGAAAAATCGTATTCCCCGGTACCCCCTGTGTTTTACTGAAAGTTCAGCTTGGAGCCTTCCATATAAATTGGTGTCCCAGGCCCAGGTGTTGGCATTTTGATCATCCCTAACTTGACTCGACACTGACCCAGAGGCCTTACTGTTCCGAGCCAGCTGTGATAGGATCTAAACCTTTTGAACCAAGTCAAGAAGTGGCCTGGTTCCTTTGGAGTCCAACCATGTCTGTTTGTTGTTGGGTTTCTGTCGCATCACTTAGACTGGATGATTGGGGTTGTCGAAGCAAAGTTGCGCAGGTTTTGCCGCCTTTTGGCTTCATCACCTGTTCAATTGGACCGGGCTCATCGCACTGAACACACCTGGCAGGAGCCGATCGCGGTCAAGGAGCGGCCAGGGGACCCAGACCCAGCAGCGGTTCATCGCTTTCTGTCGGTTCCCATCTGCTCGAATCGCGCTGAGTGTTCGACATTGGTTTGTCACAGTGGGCTCTTGAAACTGGAAACCTCAAATGTAGATTGGAGGAAGGTAACATGCAGGTCAGCACACCAGAGTTTCTCCTGTAGACCCTAGAGGTTTGTAAATTCTGTAAAGGTCTACCGGTTGGAGATGCAGATGCTTGAGCGTGGAAGAAGAACAGAGGCATTGGACGTGATCTTAGTGTGGGCCATAGAAGTTTCTTGAAGTTTCTGTCACAAGCCGAAATCTGCGGCGTGGTGTGGAAAAGCCTCCTCAAAGGATCTAAATAAAGGGTCTGAAGTCGGTTGAAGAAATCCATTTCACCGGTCTGAACCACCCTGTTTTTGACCAGAAGTCCGTTGGTTTGGAACGAAGGCGTCGATGGTGGCCATGCAGAATACCAGCGGTCCAGCGCATTGGAATTCCAATTTGTACACGAAGCCTCAAAACTGAGGCTTTCGGGAGCAAATTACTGTGTTTTGTGCGTTCGGATTAGACCGGTGTAACCTGCATTTGACAACCTTAAGGGTTTGGTTTACGTAAGATAATAACCGAGGATGAGACACATATGGTTGATTCAGCCCAAAGAATCTTCAGAACCTTCTCAGGCTTTGGCAATGGGCCAGACCACAAGTTGAAGGCGGGAAAGCTTTGTTTAGAACTTTAGAGTTAACTCCAGGGAAGCTTAGCTCAGCAGATGATATACTAGTCAAATCAAGGAACCCGAGACATGCAGAGCCAGAAACATAGAAAGGCAGCCAATTGTAGCCTCTTATTTGGATGATAATTTGGGATAGAGGGTTGGATGTTTGAGGTGTTCGGTTCTGTGATGAGCTTTGCGGGTCCTTTTCTATCAGGCGCCTGTGCCTGTTGATCTCTCAGAAAGAACGTCCCAGTTAAGATAAGACTACCTGCACAAAACCTGGCCGCTGTACATGTGAGATCATGTGAGTACTTTGTGCTCAAGAGCTTTTTGCAAGAAGGTATATAGATCATACGGTTTATAGCTTTTGCAAAGAATGCTAATTTGCCAGTATCTCTATATTATATATATAACTCATTCCTACGATCCGTTGGCTTGTGTTGAACCCCCAACTCGGCGGTTTTGCATGCAAACTTCTTTCTTCTCGGGTTGGGCAAAAGCAGATGCAAGCAAGGTTGCTGATTTCAAAGAGAAATGCCTTCAAGGCAGGTACAGCATAGCATCCTGAATCATCGTGATGCATCATGTAGAGTTTTCCTCATTGGGACAACCCCATTCTCCTTTTGTGTCGATGAAGATCTCTCACGTACAAAATCTATTATTATCATCCATTTCCTATGGTGATTTCACCCAAGATCTCCAGCTCTCCCCAGAGCCCACACCGAACGGAAGCCCACACGGCCCTCCGTCCAGGCGAAGGGCCTTGCGCCCGTGGCGGCCACACCGCCACGTTCGGGGCGCCTGGTCTCCGCGTCGACCGGAGGAACGAGCTGTGTGGCTGGTCCCAGCGTGTCGACCGGAGCTGTTTGTCTCGGAGCTAGGCTTTTGGACCCCAAAGCTCACGGCCCAAGGCAGAGAGTATTTCTTTGAACGCAAAGCAACAAAAGAAGATGGAACAATAAGGACTCAAGCATCCTAGAGAGCATGTGTGTGAGTTTTGAATCAGTGTGTGCGTGGCGTCTTGCTCATGGTGACAGACCCCAGCGTACACAAAAATGTTTCCAACTTGACAAAAATTTTGGCAGCTCTTTTGCAGAGGTCTTGAAGATAGACGGCAAACTGCTGGCAGAATTTTGTTCAGTCCAGTTTGATTGATTTATTCTGACACGCAACTCTTTTTGCGGAGGCCTCGGGACAGCATCCAGCATCATCCAACGTGCTTCATGGCGGCTTGATACATACCATATCATCAATATACATACGATTTTCAGGGATGAAACGACGCAAACTGGAAACGCTCTCCACCCCTGGGTTGAGATCCCGGCTTGGAGTTGTTGCAATCGAGGTTGGTGGGGCCCACCGATCCACAAAAGCCTTCAGCCCGGCGGCTGCAGCGGGGCGGAAGCTGAAGAGGATGAAGGTCAAGGTAGGCAGTGGTCATGTTTCTGGAATGATTCGGAATGATGGAAGATGTATATAACTACTGTAATTATGTAGACGAGTTTGTTTCAAAAGACCGGATGGCCATGGGAAGACTGCTGGTACCATTGCCCTTGTACGCCCTTTTGCAAAGGTCAGTACCTTTGGTAAGAGTCTTACGCCTTACGCCCAAACACTCATGCGTCGCAAAAGAACGGAGATTGTTTCCTTTCTGAAGATTCTCTTGTCGACTCCCGATCATTGAACTCGACTGGTGCAGACACCTACTTTACGAGCGGGCCCTTTATAAGCTAGTAGTAACAAGAAGCTATACGTCAGCTACCCCCGATTCAGATCCCTCACCGGCCACAGCGCCCCGAGGCCCGGATCGTGATCTTCGGAGGGCATTATGATGGCGGCTCCGGCGTGGCCTGGTGGATGTGCACAAGAACCTTCTTTAACTGAGACAGACTGAGAGGGAACGAAAACTGCGTGGTCGGTATTGGTTCCCAGGCCATTAAGCAAGTCTGCCACAAGTGGCATCAGTCATCATGACCAGTCGTTGGTTGCTTCGGGATCACCACGCAGACTCAGCTCGTATTTAAGTCTTAGAAGTCGGGTGTTTTCCCCGCTGAAGAGTCTGAAGAGTGCTTTCTTTTTCCACAGTGCTTCCGAACAGCCCACTTGGATGACTTAGAAAGAAACGTGTCAGTCCCCGCATTGCTACTTGTGTGTGTGTGTGTGTCCTGTAGCGTGTTTGTCTTTGCGTGTTGCGTTTGATTAGAATTATATAACAGAATATTCCTATTTCTCTTTTACACAAGCACTGCTCCAAAGAAATCATCGGTCTTAGCAGTTTATATACCACCAGGACGCTGTTGGAGAACATCCCATTTGCCCATTTGGGATCTTTGGCTTGGCTACTTTGGGGTGCTCAAATTCAACTCATGGAGGCAATGAAGACCTCCTCCAGGACATGATGCTAATGTGTGTCCAATATGGTATAGTTCTTGTAGGTGATTCCCCTCTAGCAAAATCAGATCTAGAACTTCTCGGTGGCCCGATCTCAGCACCGGTCTCATCCTCCGGGACAGGACTCCATGGGCCCGAGTTGGTTGCTTTCGATTGAAAGGAATGCTGGCTGACATATGGCTGTGGGTGAAAAGCGGATGCCCCTTCAGGGTAGGTTGACTCCCCAGGAAGTCCATTCTGTTCATTTTTCTTTGGTCAACCCAGGGTGCCCGGGTGTTGACCTACTGACGTACCTAAGATATCCGCAGGCTGAGGAGATTGATTGATTAGGTGTCACAGTTATTGTATCTAGAACTCTACCGTCGTGAAGTGAAATATGGCCCCGCAACGCTTCAGGCTGGATTTGTTTACCTGAATGACACGCATATCTTGGACATCGATGAAAACACCTGGACTGTGCCGTTCCTTGCCAAAAGGGAACGGAGGGTTTGGGGATGTTCTGTATATCGGCCAATTGAATTGATTCGCCTGAGGCAACACAGATTAGTCGTCATGGAATGGACGCGAAGTAAAGTACATGATTTGCTTCGTGGGCTGTTCAACGCTTTCGTGCTCTGTTGTACCCCAATCCAGTTTCCCAAAAGTAATTTCAAAGTTGCTGGTACTGGTTGGTTTCCCCGCTTCTAGGTTCTTGCAAGACCCTCCCAAAGACATGTTGTTTGGCTGTTTTGAGTTCGCATTGGGATTAAGTACTCTCAGCTCATCTGTTGAGCTGTTGAGGTCTCTAGAGGCATATGTTGCGGCCGTTGAACTGAGCGGTTGGACTCGTGGGGCCCCGCAAGTCACTGAAATCAGTGGGAAGAGTCCTTTAGAGTAAGACACAGGTTCAATGTTGCCAACAGGAGAGTCAAAATCGTGGTTCAGGATTGTAGGGATTTTCCCTTCAATAGTAGTATAGTAACAAAAAGCTATTAGAAACAAGTGCCTTACTAGTAGTAACAAGGCTCGCTATTAGAATTGAATTAAACTAAATTAAAGACGCCAATGGTTCTCTAGGATCAATTCGTTCGACACTTGGGGATCACGACATGATCACTACAGATTCTTGGGGAGAAGGACACAACAAACGAAAATGCAGTTGCCAAACTCGCCTGAGGAGATCCTAGCACAACCCACCAAGCCTTCTTTGCCCTTGTCTCCCATTATGCCCCTCACAACTGTCGCAAAGTTCATGATGACCCATGTATCCAATTATTACGACCCCCCTCCTCTACCCCAGTTAGCAACGAATTCGCCTGACCAACCGCCTGGCACTCAGGCGTTGTCGTGGCACCGCTCCGGAGCCCCGCTATGGCCATGCGGCGGCGCTGGTGGGCGGCCGGGTCGTGCGGAGGGCCCAGCAGTTCGGGTGTAGACAGCTGGCCGAAGGGTGCGGGCACCGGTCTGGGCTTTGGTCCCGCCACCCGGACCAGGAACATTGGCACATTAGGATCATTAGGAATCACACGAGAGGTGGGCAGAAGTAGATGAAAACCGTCAAGACTGCTTTGTTTTCTTTGATACAGTGAATGTAGATGCAGAGCAAGTCGGGACTAGTCTACCGCCTTGCCCACGTTCTTTTGTTTTTCTCTTGCCATGGAGATGCCTTCACCGCCTTCGTTAATCCGATTAATGTTGAATTAGATTGATGTAGAATGTAGATTATTGATTAATAAGCCCCCCGACATGAAGAGGTGGTTCAATCATGTTCAATCCAAATGGGGTGCGTTTTTCATCAAGAGTCTACCTTACAGTGTATAATAAGCAGATACAGCACGGAATTAGAAACAGATCGATCATAGCAGTTTTTTGCACAAGCATGTTCATCGCGACAGGCTGCGTATTTATTTGGTGCTGTACTCCATCTGTCACATGGAAAACAGGATGAATTTGTCATCAATGATTCATGATCTTTTTAATGTGGACTCGGGGGAGCCGCGACTCAAGAACATTGAATATTTCTTTCCAGCATCCCCTCGCAAGCGTTCATTGTGTACTCAGAGTGGTCTCGTAACCTCGCCAAGCGATTAAGCGCTTAGAATATGCGATTGAGCGATCAGAACAAGCGATTAAGGCAAGCCTTGCCTATCAGCTCTATAGGGTGCATTTTTGCGACCTAACAGATGGCCAGAAACTGCAACCAGACCGACCATCTTCAACTCAGCCCTTGATAGTTTAGATAGTTTAGGAGGCACCCCGGAAGGGGTAACACATTGAACCCTTCGAAAGATTTTCAACCTGCCCTGAAAGGTCGTCCCTCTTCAAGGTCACCTCATTGAGCGACAGACCCCAATGCATCACAGGCCCCAGATTCACTATCTAAATTTCTGGCTTGGGTGAGACGAGCGCCTCAGATTTTCCCGCCACAAGTAAGGATCACGACTTGTTACCCTTATATTTATAGTAATTATACATAATTTCTTTGGACCCTTGGCCTTCTCCGGGTGGTGTTCAAAATGATCAAGAGACAGAGGCGGCCCATGAAAGTCATGAAAGCCATAGAAACCAAGCTGGCCAAGTTTTTTCTCTTCCTCTCAAGGGGACCTTCGCTGGTTTTGTGGTCAGGTCCCAGGGGAACTGAAGAAGACCTTGAGGTCTACTTTGGTGGCAAAGGCAAGACTAGCTGCTTTCGAGACTTGCATGCTCTGGATACTAGCACCTACACGTGGCTCCTTGGAGAGCAGACGGGTGTTGGGCCCTGGAACGTGCGAAGGAACAGGTTGGTCACCTGAAGGCAGCGCTGCTGAGCGCTTTGGGTCCGAGCATCGGCATCCCCATGCCCTTCCGACCAAAGGATTCTGCCCTGGGCACACCAGAGAACGTATTCGTCCAGTGTGGTCCGCTGGGTGTGGTTCGTCCCAAAGGCCTCCGAGCCACAACATCAAGAATGATTTTGGACTAGTTTTGAATTGTCAATCGTTGCCATGGGAGGTGATTTGTCTCCAATAGACCGCAGACTTATTTTTTCCAATGAGGATGTTCATCCGACCACTCATCGGTTCTTTGTTCAAGTCACATCCATACTCCCTGAGGTAGTGCACATTCACCTACTCAGTCAGTGGAGAACCTTTAACCTGTCATAACCTTTCTTGGGGAGTCATTTCCCCACTATCTAAATACGTGGAAAAAACATGAAGACAACTTATATATTATATAACCCTTATTTTCCTGTTGTACACACCGACCCTACCATGTGTTCTTTACAATGCGTGGGGGCCTCATCGTTGAGGTCATGGTCCTTCCTGACGGATGGGAAAAGCCCAAGCAAATAATGTTGAGATTCCCTGAAATACATTGAGTTCACCTGAAAGCTGCATGTTTCTTGGTTTCCATCTAAACCTCTAGGAGGCCTCCATCTAACCCATTGTTGGACCTCTGTTCGCAGAGATGGGCCTGGACAAGTAAAACACCAGATCAGGATCACTGGGCAGCAGTGGGCTCGGACTGGTCACTCGTTGGTCACCAGGCTCCTCGGGCCTCCACGGCCACCTCCGAGGTTTCAAGGCCCCAGCTCGGGTGGTGCCCCATCCGCGCGCCACGGTGGGGGAGCCCGCAGGAGGTTTTGGGATGGAAAGATGGATAGGGGATGATAGAGACATTTCTTCTGGCATTGCTAATTTTGGGGGGTCACTTCCGGATTTCTACTGGAACTCATAGAGACTTGAAGAAATCACTGCTGGTCACTGCGAATAAAAAGCACGGGACTGCACCACCAATTGCAAACCAACTCATAGCAGCATGAGGGTTGTCATCCGTGTACCGTTTTGTTGTTTGTTGTCCAACTTGCCACTAGCTGTGGGAACATGTGCACAAGACTGTGCGACAATAGTGCCCCACAAGCATGCCCCACAAGAGTGTCCCACAAGAGTGCCCCAAAGGCTGTGCCACAACACTGTGCCACAAGAGTTTCCCAAAAGGCTGTGCCACAATACTGTGCCACAAGACTGCCCCACAAGGCTGTGCCACCAAAGTTTCCCACAGGAGTGTCTCTCACAAAAGAGTCTTGTGCTGCACTCTTGTGGCACAGTTTTGTGGGACACTCCTGTGGCACAATCTTGTGGTGCATTCTTGTGGGGCACTTTTGTGGCAGAGCCTGGGGAAGCCCAGGGTGGAGCAGTCAAAACTGGAAACAGGTGAGCCTGATGAAGGCAAAACTCAATATATAATCAGATTTGTGGGCCTGGAGAAGGGGAAGCTAAAGTAAGGGGATGTTACTGCACCTTGGCCTTGTCCAGGCCCAGTAGTAAACGGCTTTGTTTCACCTTCGCCTTCTCCTGGCCCACAATGAGCTCTGCTTGCTCCAGGCTCACCAGTTTCCAGTTCTGATTGCTCCACTTTGGTCTTCTCCAGGCTGTCAACAAATTGCAAAAAAAAGGTGTTCAAGTTCTTCTTCAAAGCTGACAGCTTCCCAAAGCCATCAACTCCTTCCTCAATCAATCCTATGTGTGAGTTGCCCCTATTTAAACAAATGCAAGGTAGTAGGCCAGAAAGGCCCTTGGTCCTCAATGTCTTGCTTTCAAGATCATCAATTCTTATTTTTCACAAATAGAAGGGCCTCTCCTGAAATCATACTACTAAGTTACTAAGTCAATGGCTGGCTTGCTGAGTGTATTGTAGGCATCTCTAGCTCTTCTTCAAAATTGATAGCAATCCCTTAATCAACCCTTTCTGTGAAGGTTGCGCCTAAACAATCTTCAATGTAGTAGACCAGGAAGGCCCCTGGCCCTTAAAAATTACTTTGCCTTGAGGATGCTCAAGTATGATGTTTCCAAACAAAAATCATTCCTGGAATCTTGATACTACTAAGCCAATGGCTTGCTTGCTGGTAGAAAGGCTGCCCTAGTTCTTCTTCAAAACTGACAGCCTCCCAAAGCCACCAATCCCTTAACAATCCTTCATGCGAAGATTGCTCCTGAGCAATTTTCAATTTGGTAGACCAGGATGGCTACTGAACTTCAACAATTATGTTGCTTTGAGGGTCCTCAATGGCGAAAAAGTCTTTCCTCAGCCCTTGAGGTCTTAATACTAGAAAGCCAATGGCTGGCTTGCTTGAATTATTGGCAATATAGTTTAACACAGTTCTTCTTCAAAACTGCTGACAACCTGAGAACCTTCTTAGTACTCTTCTTAATACTATAAAGGGATTGCCGAAAGTATCTACAAACAACCTGAGGACAGAAGGTGCACATATATATATATATTATATATATACAACTGCAATCTACCAAATAGAAAGAGAAATGAACATATATGGCAATCAATTGCACAAGGAAACCTCACCACTACCACTACCACCACTCACATCACCACTACCAAACCACCACAAACACCACCACATCACCAGTATACCCCCACTTTGCTGCAGAATGGTCGATTCAACATCACACTGCCACCACCATATATCATCACCACCACTCCACCACCACCACACAACCACCACAACAACTACCACTATCAGACTGCTACTACCACCCACCACATCACCAATACCGCTACTCCACCACCACCACCACCACTGCATCAGACTGCTACTACCACCACATCCAATACTACCACTTTGCCACCACCACTCCTCCACCACCACCACCACCACCACCACACAACCACCACAACCACTACCACCACCACTGCCTAGAACATGGGATGTTTATGAATAGTTCTAGGGACCAGGGAAGGTACCGTCCGTGAAATACAGTATACATGATGCCCAGAAAATTAACCTGACATCATATGGACAGCTGCTGCAGCACAATCACTTTATATATATATATATACAGTACATATATAACATGTGCCGGTTTTCACAAGAACATAATGTCTGTGGTTGAATTGATCAGTTTCGGGCAGAATGTCCGATTACATGCCAAGACCCACCGGGTTGGATGTCCACTAAAGCCAAAGAAGGGTATTCTGACCAGCCCGAAAGTGCTTCTGTTCTTCATGCAGAGGAGCTTCAGCCCATGGTTTTCCTCCCAAAAGGTAAGCTGTTTGCATTAGCACATCAGTATGCGTTTCTGCCGATAGATGTGGAATGGCGATGGATCTTCGGCAGATTTAATTTTCAGCTGCAGCGGCATGGTTGTTCACTGCTTTCCATCCAGATGACCTTTTGATGAGTACATTTGCTGAGTACAAATCAATCACCAATTCAACGTTTGAGATGTAATTCTGTAGTGCATATCACCCAGATGTTCGCTTCTCGCCTCGCTGGATTCGGTGAACATGTCCCATGTTTTCTCTACCGCACGCCATCGCACGCCCTGCTCCACGTCCGGTTCGCCCTGCAGGGCACACGGCGAACCTCCATGGTACCCGGCTCTACGTCTTCGGCGGCACATGTAGTGGAAAGTGACCCCTGGGGGCCGCCAAGTGAAGCATCCTGGGCAAAGTCATGTGCCTGTTGTTATTTCACACAAACGAGACCAAGAATGAAGAGATATGAAGAGATACTGTCCGTGTCTCCTAGACCTGTCCGTGGGAAAAAGGCCAACAAAAACGATACTAAACCGATTACCTGGACCAGTAAACCATTGAACACCTCTCGTGCTTACTAAGCCGCGGCCCATTGGAGGTACTTTGGAGACCTCCATTGCTTGGAGCTGAGTCCGAAGACACGCTGCATGACATCCCGACTTCCCAAGACAGCAGTACGTGGCAGTACACATGACAACCATGATAAACCCTGTAGAGGTTGCTTTTGCACATCCACCATGTTGATGTTCGCTTGTGAGTCCATCGATTTCCACTCGTTTCGCAGGTCTTGACTTGGCATCAATGGCTTGGTCATGTCCGCCGGCCACAGGACTGGGGAACCGGGGCCGAGAAAGGTGAGGCTTTGGTTACCTGGAGAAGAGGAAGGTCCGAAAGAATGGGGATGGAATGGGGACCTGTTGGAGGTGGGACCACCTGGGCGAGCAGCTGGGATTTGCTGGGACCTACCCTGAGATGTCACCGGGTCTTTTATCGTCTTTGTCAGTGAGTCATCTCTTCAGATAGAGGGTGGCTCCCCAGAGTTGGAGGTGCAAGGCGGAGTAAGGTCTCTCATTTGTGCGGAAGGTTGGTATAAGCCGCTCCACACGTTTCGAGTGCCCCGCACTTGATGACATGCACTGTTGACCTGGCCTTCAAATTGTGCCAATACCATTACCATGATGCCTGGGGTACCTCTTTATAGATTGCATTTTCTAACCAGTCTGAGTGAGCGCAAGAAGAGCTGCGATTGACTCCAACAACCGCGCAGTGTGTCGAAGCTTGGGCTTCAGGCTCATAGAGGGGCCATGGAGGGGCCATGAGGGGCCTATACATTGGATGAGCTACAGTATTTCAACCATGGATGGTATCCAAAATCCATTTGGTCATCCCATTAGAGAAGAGAACCCTTGACCATTGGATGTTATTTCATGTCATGGTTTGAATCGGACATTCCTTGACCACCTTCACGAATCACGTTCCGCAGGGCCCAAGCCAACACCGCGGTGTGGACATACAGCCTTGCTGATTGGCGAGCCGGGTTCCCGGTGGATGTGAGGTGGAGAGGGGAGGTCGGTCATGTAGTGTGCATGTCATGTAGTGTGTCATGAGGTCGGTCATGTCACATGATTACTGGCTTCATACTTACTTCATTCTCGCAAACCAGCCCAGGTTTGTCCGAAGGGGTCCAAATCGCAGACCACCAACCCGGAGTTTCATTGATCGCGCCATGAGTGCGTTGATCGTCAGCCGAGTCCAGCCGGAGACCGACCGATGTTTTGCTGATGAGGGTCACTCCGAGCTGACGGGGCTTCCAATGAGACAAGTGACAAGGAATTCATCTAACGACCTTTCTCAGTGGCGAGCGGACCGGGACCGCACAACTTCCCGTCGAACTTCCCGTCTTCCCAAAACGAAACGGATGAGGCTCCTTATCTAGATGTTTGCATGCTCATATATTACAGCATTAAAGGATACTGTATGAAAGGCAACCACAAAGATTGGTGCCTTGCAGTTGGATCCACCTATGCACCAACTTACCGGAGGACAAGAACCCAGGGTATTCACTTGCTTGAGAGTTTGCACTAACTCGCGGTCGCCCAGTCGGTCATGGAAACTACATCCGACTCCAACAGGCATACCCCTTCTGCAGCTTGCCAAGATCTTGTACAGCTGGGTGTCTATTGAAACACAGGGGGTCCATGTTCCTTCCAGGTCTGGAGGGTCTCCCTATTTGAGCAACCAGATCCACATGCTGGATGACCTGGGTATCAGCGAGCGGCACAGGTCGCTGCTGATCCACGGCGGCTTCTGCATGGAGACGCCCGAGATTGCCACCAAGGACGGACTGATCTCACCGGGGCGAGTTCCAAAGAGTTTTCCAACAAAATCCCGTGTGCACTCGGTTGCAAGTCATGTCAAGTGTCATTTCATACTTGCTGCCTTAGGAAATTAACCCAAGGGCCCCCTCAGTTTGAAAATTATTTTATTTGGATTAATTGTCTATATGTTGGGGAGATTGGGGGGGTTCTATAAAAATCCATGTGAACTTAACTAGAAAAAGATCTTGATAGGATTAATTAGCTCATGAGGGGGTCGATTAATTAGCAATGAGGGAGCTGAAACTGAAGAGTGGGAGAGAACTAGACTACCGCTGAGTTTATTTTGGACTTGTGTCGTCAGTGCTTTGCTTGTTAGGTTCAGATGCGTTTTTCCTTTGTCAATACTTGAAGATCACCGGTTGTACCAGCTGGATTAGATTCCAGGGCTAGAGCCTGCTGGCTTTAGCCAGCTAGGAGTTTTATTTAGAGAAATCGTATGTTCCAGCAGGGCTGGAACAATGACGTTTATCCAGGTGATGTTCAGGAAAAAAAAACAACAATACTTTGAAAAACAACACCCTGTCTCCACCATCTGGGTTCTTGTTAAAGGATTTGTTTAAAATCCTGGTCAGACCAGAAAAACTAAGGAAACAACTAAGGAAAATTAGAATGTTAGACTCAAATGCCTAGAATTAATTACTAGAAAGGTAGCTCCAGGCCCTGCAAATTAGTTTCTCTGAGTTTTGTCATGAGACTCAAGCATAGTGGCTTAATTAAGTTAATCAAAATTAACTTGCACTCGTCAAGTCTTGGATTAATTTCAGAATATTTACTGCAGGGGTAGTGATTAATTCTCCTAATTAATCTGTGGTAGAGGGTAGTTGACCCCCCCCTAAGGTAGGAGGTATGTCATTTCAATTGATTGGAGTTTGATTTCATAGCAATCTTGCACTGTTGATGACGGCGTTTGGTGTGTTTCGTCTTAAGTCTTGCCCAGGACAATAGCGGAGACTTGCTCAAGAATTCGTACTGCAATGACGTTTGCCACTAAGGGATTGATCAGCACAACTCTCGTGTGTCACTCAATGGCGAATAGCATTCTCCGACCTGTGTTGCTTCTTTTTCGCGGTGATGGGCCACTCTTTCCACCCGTTCCGCATGTCTTGAAAGGTCGAGGTGCTTGTGGATCACCGATCAGAGCTCTAAACAAGACAAAAAAACAGATGGGTCTCCAATTCTACCGAACCATTCCATGCTGATCTGGAAGAAAAAAGGATACGATCCGAAAGAAAGAAGGACACGATCCGACGTCGGTCCCAACGGATCTGGCATCCAAAACAGCGAGTCTCGTGTGACCCTTTGGACGAACCCCCCAGGCACCACGCGTCGACGGACGACCGGCGGGTCCATCGACGCTGACGGTTGAGGTCCGAGTCCTTGATTTGGGCCGCATGCTGTGGCCACTGGGGTGGAAACGGGAGCGGAACGGGTGGTTCGACGACCAGTCGAACGCGTGGAGGTTCCTAGTTGTTTGTGGAAGGTGGACGGGCAACCGACACTAAGCATGAGAGCCTCCAAATTTGCCAAAGTTTGTAAGTCCCATCCTGAGAACCTACTCAATGATAATTGGCTGAGCTTGTGGTCATACAGGTCTTTGCTAAACTGAGAGATTGCTGGATCTAGGCTTCTTATCCTCAGATATATAGAACGAAAGAAATTCGCTGTTTGAAAGGCAAGTTACTACTTCTTCTATCTATTTTTGGGGTTGCCGGTAACGGATCTCCAACATTCGCCAGACATGCAGGACCTTGCCGTTCCCTGAAAAAACAGGTGCCAGTGCAGCGTTTGCTGAGGTCCCGGCTTCGGACGCATGGCACACCGCCGGTGGGGCGCTTCTCCCACAGCTTGTCGTTGTCCGAGGATGATGCCATCGTCTTCGGAGGCGCAGACATCGTTTTCGTCCTCGTTTTGGGGGGCAGGAAGAAGCAGTATGGGAAACTAAAAGTGAAGCGAACAAACAGATGTTACACTGCTGCTGTGACAAAATGACACAACAACATTTGCAATAATCATGAATCTTAAAAGACATACACATGAAACGACTACCTTGCAGAGCAGAAATTGCATTGACCACGTCTGTTACAATCGACCAATCGGGTCTCTTTGCCGCTTTGTGTGATGGGTCTCTTCGGGCTTGGCTTTGATCAGCAAGAAACACGGAAGTGTACACTGCTCCAACAGACAAACATGGAAGTGGACAATCCCCTGCCCTGCTTTGTAGAGACTTTCAGGGAGTGTACATCACTTGTTGAAGCTGAGTTCAACATCGCATCCTGGTATGGTAGGAGATGTGCATGTCCACACAGCCATGCTGTGTTTCTCCTTGGGCGCTGCACACTTGGCTCCGCGGGGCACGTCCGTCTGGTAGGTTGGAGTGGGGCGACCAATCAGGCCTTTGCATGGTTGGAGGATGGTGGGAAATTTTGATCCAATGTGAGTGGTCTTCTGTGCACTCCACCGCCACAGATCACCACCCCGACATGGAAATCCGATATAGAAGTGTTTTGTTCTTGGGTCTACTGGCTCTCTTCACCTAGGATTTTGCCTCAGATGCATGCATGTTCTTTCACTCTGAATATCACTGGAGATCACAGCAATTTTGAGGTCCCCAACAAGCTCATATGTATCAAGCTGAGATAGGGGGCTTTATTGTTTTATCTCCCACCAGGAAGTGGGAAATACATGGTGTTGGATCCCGCTTTTCAGGGGACCGTATGGCTCTATCCAGAAACTGCATCAGCAAATGATGTCCCAGCTAGCAGCTTGATGACTCGCTGAGCACATGAATGAAGCTTTCCAAGCCTTCAGATTGATGCGTGGGATATTTTAAGGTGGCGTTGTTCTTTTTGTTCGTTGGTTTTGTCCGTGGAATCTCCATAGAATAATAGTGCATGCCTTTATCCTGTTCGTTCGCGGGTGTCTCTTTTTGGTAACGCGCAACTGTTGGCTGCCGGCTTCATAGCACAACTGCCAATCATTTTGAAGCTTTTTTGTAGATGATGAGAAGCCAAAAATTACGAAAGCCAGCCTTCGTAGAAGGCGCTAGCGGAGTTGTGTCTGGCGAACAAAGTGAGTAGTTAGGGGGTCTGGGGGGGTGGCCCGAGAAAGGGACACGTCAACTCAGCACATGCTGGGGGAGGAGGGTGCTCCGAGGGAAGGTTTTTTGAGGTTGTGTTGGAGGTGATTTTTGAGGGGTGGTGATGCAAGAAATGCCAAATGCATCATTTGCATCATCTGAATGGAAAGGTGTAGTTGGCACCTTGCAAGGTAGAGAGACCTAGGGTAGCTATAGTGCAGCTACCAGGTATAGTACTTCAAGTTCCCTTTCCGTCAACCGCTTGAGAACCTCTACACACGCACAGCAAGCCACAGCCTTGAAGTCTCATTCGTGCTTTGAACTTGTATAGGTGTGTAAGAGGTATAGCAACATGCTACCTGAGAAGCTGCAAAACGAAAGCCAGCGCTTCCCTTTCTCGAG